ATAACTTTAGTAATAACTAGAATTATTTAAAATAGTTATTTTTATACTATTTAGAGAGTAGCTTATATCTTCTAGATACTAACTAATAAGGCCAAAGCACTTTCTAGTACTTCTAAATAAGAGCTTTTAATATTAAAGATATAAGTATTATAGAAATTAATAATAGTATATATTATTTATAAAAATAGAGAAAAATAAAGAAAGCTATAAATGAATTATATTAGGAATTAGAATTTATTATATTAATAGTTATTTCTATTCTTATTTCCTATTAATTTTCCTATTCTTAATTATTTATAAGATAAATCAAATATAAATATACTATTATTATTTCTAGTTTAGAAAAGCAGATATTAAACTCTCTTATAAATACTAACCCGGTCTAAGTCTCTTACTATAACTCATATTCTTCTTATAACATTTTAGCCTTCTTTATAATATAGGGTATAGAAATAGATATAGAAACCAGGATATAGAAACTAGGATATAAAGAATTATTTAGTAGGAATCTCATTATCCTTAGAGGCTATAAAACTCGAATACTAGAGATTTAAACTATTAATATAAGTTTAAAAAGAGTTTATTTCTTTCCTAATTCTTATAAGATAACTTATTTTACTAAAGCAAAAATGACTTTACTTAATAATAAATCTTTTAATATATAAGCTTTCCTCGAAAATCTTAATTAGTATTTAATATATTTTAGTTATCTTAAAATATTTTATTTTATATCTTAAGTCTTTTACTATAATAAAATTACTATAAATACTATAGATATTAAAAATATCCTCTCTTTTTATCTTCTACTAGTTATATATCTCTAAAGAAAGTTCGGAATTATTTTTACTTATTTTATTTTCCGTAATAATAATATTATAATTCGAAATTATAAACTTAATAATAATAGTATTTAAGATATAAGTCCCGAATATTCTAATAGTACTTTTAGTAATATATATACTAATAGCTTTAAGAACTTAATATATAATAGGTTAATACTAAAGAGATAAAGTTATAATAAGAAGTTAGTATAGCTACTAGCTAATATTTCCGAAGCCAGGGTTAAAATTAATAAGTAAGCTATATAAAGAATTAGTTTTAGTAAGAGGCCTTTGAGAATATATATCTATTTAGTTTCTTAATATAGAAAGTAGTACTTTTGGATACTTGAGATCTATTACTATTTCTAGTTAATAAAACTTCAAGTTATATTACTATATAAAAGTTACTATTTATTAGATTATATAGTCTTACCTTATAATAAATCTAAAACGTTCTCCTTATTATAATAATTATTAACTTATACTTATAAAGTACTCGCTATTTTATTATAGGTTAATAAATAAATTAGAAGACTTACTAGCCAGAAAACAAGTTATAATAGCTTATATATAAGAAAATAATATATTTGGGCAAAAGATAACTTATTAGTACTACTTCCAGAAATAGAAATACTAGTAAAAGAAATAGGATCCTCAGATACCAGAATAGGCCCTACTATTAGGTAAATACTAAATATACTATTTTTAGTTCTATATAAATATAAATTCTAATCTTAGACTAGAGCTATTTAAGAATACTTTACCCTAAATTATATTTATTTCTGAGTATATACTCTTGCTATAGCTAAGCTCGGGCTTACTTAATTTCAAATTAATTTTAAATTTATATCTCATAATACTATAAATTAAAAGCTTACTGAAAATAGCAGCCCTAGTAATCTTTTTCTCTTTTGCTCTTTATTATACGGTATTAGTAATTAATTTACTTGCCTGGAACAAAACTATAAAAGCAGGTATTATAACTTTAACTATACAAATTCTATTACTCTTTCATTTCTTGTTCTAGCTAATAAGTTCTTAATTATAGTTTAACTTTACTAATATCTATTTACTAAATCCCTTAATTAAGCCATATAACTTTCCCGATCTTACTTAACCTTTCTAAAGCAAAGTATAAAGTACCGCAAGCGCCCTAATAATAGCTCTTCTGGCTACTACTAGTAAGGTTCAGAGTACTATAGGTACTACTACTTCTAATCTCAATAAAATTAAGGTATTAATTCCAAGAAATTATTTATTAGATATCAAGTAATTTTATATTAGATTTATTTATAATATAATATATTATAAATTACTATTAAATATTATAAGCTTTATTAGTAATAAAGTCATCTAGTTTCTTTAATCTCTGAAAGGAATTATAGTAAAAGTTATACCTATAATTATTTAAAGCTCTTTTTTTTTGGCTTGGGATTCTTGGCTATTATAGCAGCTATATTTATCTATTTAATACTTTCTATTATAGCTTTCCTTCTGAGATTAGGGGTCTATTTATTAGCTATATTATGCTTTATTTCTTTTATTATACCTATTACTATTTTATATTAAGTATAATCGGAGATATAGGGTTTTAATTTAATTATAGGAATAGAGAAAGGAGATATAACTAGCTAGTATATAGGAGCTATTACTTATACTAGAGTTATAATACTATTAATAATTTTTATATTAATTTTTATATAAAGAGGCTTATAGCAAGTAGTTTCTTATCTAGGTTCTATTATTTTATTACTGCTTTTCTTGTTTGAAATTCCAGTAAGCTACCTCAGGGTCTTTCTAGGCCCTTGATTTGGTATATAAAGGGTAATGTATATAAAAACTGAGATTTATTTATACTAATAAAGTTAACTTTCTTTTCTATACTTTAATATTATAAGTGCAGATAGTAATAGTCACGTGGCGTTACTACTAATACCGGGGCTATCGTCTCCGGCTACAAACCTTAATACGCCTTAATCATGGTGGGGTGCAAAAACGGGGTGTAGAAACAGGGTATAGAGACCAGGGTATAGAGACCAGGGTGCAGAGACCAGGGTGCAGAGACCAGGGTGCAGAAACAGGGTGCAGAGACCAGGGTGCAGAAACAGGGTGCAGAGACTAGCGCACTTTCGTTTAATGTTATACTTCGAGGTTATGAAATTCAAATAACGGGAATATAGAAGTATTAATACGAGTTTAGTATATTAATGGATCTAAGAACCCGATATATGGCAGATTAATACTAGAGGAAGCTGGCCGTAACGAGAAATTAGAGCAGACTTGGCTTTCAAAACGCATTAGAGAAAGTATAAGAAATTAGCTTTAGTAAAGAACTTTTGAGGTTACTTTATATTTGCATTTTTCGTATATATTACTTCTTTCAAGCTTTAGTATCTAATCCACTCGTTATTTTTTATAATATCTTTAATAAATCAATATTACGCCATTATAGGGAAAGTTACTATGAAATTTCTCTTCGGCTTCTATACTTAATCCACAAATACCTCTCCTTTATTCCTTTTAGCCCAGCTCATTTTTCTACTATTAATAGTTATAATATTATAACCCCAAAGCCATAATAAATAGAATAATAATCACGGCTAATAAGATAGTAATACTACTAATTAAATACATGCATCCCTTAATATCCTTCTAGTATATATGCTTATATACTTGATTAGCCTTATTATAAGAACTATAAGAAGTTATAGATAGGCCATTAGTTCTGTCTTTAAATAAATCCATACGTTCCTCTCGTTCTAGTATACTATTTATGGTTTCTCGCATAGTACGAATAGTAGCATTGACTTATACTTGCAAAGCACTCGCCATTTTATTATAAGTTAATAGACTAAAAAAAACATTACTTGGGGGGTATCTGGTATTATAGTAACTTAATTAGATAACGTAAATATAATCTGTTAGTATTACGTTCAGATATAAGGATATTAAAAAGAGAAAATGGCTCCTCTAGTACCAGATTTAGTTTATAGAACTAAAATTACTCTTAGAGAGGGCTATTTGAGGATTCTACTATTTATAGAGTATAGTATTATTAAAAATAGAAACTTGCTAGATAAAAATAAATATATTAATAATATAAAGTATCCGGGTTTACCTTTGGTAATACCTTACCTAATATCTCCTTTATATTATTTCAATTCAAGCTACTCCTATATATGACTAAGAACTCGAGTTATAACTATAAATCTTGTCGTAGCCTTTGCTCTTCTAATCTCTGTAAATGCCTATCTATACTATAGAGAGGTTAATAAGATACTCGTCCCAGAATTCGGGGTCGTCAGAGGATCTGACCCCAATATCCTCCAAATAGGCAGTTATAGTAGATTTAACAGGCAGTTTGTCCCAATTCCCTGCATCTGTCTACCTGACCGTAACCTGTTCATTAATGCGCTAAATAATGCTCTTGAAGTGGGTAACGTCGAAGGAGAGCCAATTACGTTTAGCAATAACGCTAGTGACCAGTCCGGGGCCACAAATAAACAGCGAGCTACTGCTTGTGTAATTATTCTGCAAAGTTTCAATGGCGAGAAAGGGAATGGATATCCAGTTGCTTCCGCGCCTAACTTCAAGACCCAACAAGACACAGGCATCTGGAGCGATAAGATAATTATAGAGTAATCGTGAAGCTAAATGCATGATATTGATGAAGGAAAGTCAGGTGGATAATCTTTATAAACAATTATAGATAGCTTAACGTGCTTCCCTCTGTGCCGAGACGCACGGTGTCACGAGACGAAAAATAAGAGTTTCTATTTTATGCTCTCCCTTATCAGTTTGCCGTTGCATATATGATGTCCCATGATTCTCCAGCCCTTGGTCCACAGCATACTCACACAGTGAGCGAAACCGGAAGGTCTTGGTCACTGTCGCAGTCGATTTGCTTATCGCACAATCTGATGTCCAAGATTCACCCCCTGCTACATCGTCGATGTCGCCAGCGATTCGAATTTCGGAGGCCTGATGGTGAAGCGCAACACCAGATAAGACCTGCACCAGGCATTCAGGGCGATCAGCCTTGTGTGACTGGAATGAGCGAATTCCGCCGAGCGGGAAAGGGTCGCGTCTCCTCGCGTCTCATGCGCACCTTAGGGCCTCTCCTATAGCGGCATCTACACTATGCCACATCGAGCTAGCGGAGGGCAAGCTATGTACCATCTATACAATAGTAATCACTACCTCTGTCTCACCGTCCAAAAGCTCAGGGAAGTCAACATTTTCGACCAGACTATCCCAAAATTTTGCCCATCCGATCCGTTCGTAGTTTCCACTGCCGTCTGCCACAAGTCGGATGATCATATAGCTTATGAAGCATCGTGACGCTCCGAATATTTCTATTGTCGTCGGTTGGGTATCAGTGTTTCGAAACATTCGAAGCTTGAATAGACGGCCAGTTATACTTTTCAAGTCACAGCCAATGGGAGTATCAGGCAAAAAGGGAAAGTGCCGGCCGGTAGCCGACAAAACGCTGCTGGTGGGAATCTCTACCTGGCATGGTTTATGCCTAGCATGCCCTTTATCTTGTAGAATTACTTGATCATCACTTTTACAGATGCGAGATAACCAATTGCTTCTTCTACTTCTGGACGGCTCGTGCTTATGCTCGAGGAAGTATATCCTGTTATGAGATTAGCAGAGTAATATCGTCCCTTGAAATAAAGCGGTTTAATAGGAGAAAAATTGCTTGGACGGGTGGCCGGCTGTGTTGCCTCCCTGGTAGAATTCACGGAGTAATTGTGAAGCTTCACTGCTCAGGTTTTGTTTACAAGTATTGATGGAAAAGAATAAAACCCTGCTCGTACTGACCTAGCTGGACTAAGCTTCCCTCGTATGGTAAGGAAGCCAGACTGAACTCCACCCGTCCGATCTTCACCAATCTGAACGGTCTCGCAAGCAATAACATCAACATCGGCGGCATAGGTCCCGTCATTAATGAAGATGCCTTGCGGACTGAGGCTCGTTTCATCCCATGTGATATGGCCATTAACTGCTGCCCAGCTCCAGGACGGCGCCCGCCATTCTCGTGGCCGGCCTTCGCAGCTGGAAGCCCGCCAGCACAGATCATCGACCAACGTCTGCGACCACAATCCAGCGAGATAATCGTCCTTCCTCAAGTTTTGTACCCTTTGAGCAAGGCCAGACAAAGCTGGCAACTTGTCTTTCTCCAGGGTCATATTCAGGTCAGAGTAGGTCTCGACGATTTGACGCCAGATTCGTGGATGTGCCATGTACTCATATAATCTAGGTTTTTCCAGCAACATCATACGTGTCCCATAATGATTGCTTATGTTACCACACACGCAGTCATGTTTATTCCTACATTCCCACCAGAGTTCCCTCTTGGTAAAGTGTAGCATTCTCGAAGAAAGCAGCCTTTCCTGGTAGCACCAAGCTCGTCGAAGAAGCGGTTGAGATTCTGGCAGCATGTCCTCAGGGAGTGCTACTCGCTGCACATACAATTCCTGCAATGTGCCTTCTCTTGTTTTGACTTGAAGCTTCAGGTGCGTATCAAACCGGGAGAGGAACCCATCGTCGTCGCTTCCGGCCGATGTAGCTCCGATCGTAAAGAAGGAATTCTCGTAAGTGCTTGCCATCTGCGCTGCTTCGTGCGACCAGTCCTCAATGCTATCTTGCACTATACAAAGGCTATCGATCCAGAGATAGCGAATGCCAAACTTTCGTGTAACTGTTATCGCATCCTGCATAGTTCGAGGTAGTTGATCAAGTGGAATCGACGCCCTGTTGGCTTTCAAGTTTGCCATCGTCGTAAGATGCTTGTTGCGGCTCTTGCCCCAGCAATGGCTCAAGCAAACGTATCGACTGGATATCCCTTTTGTGTCAGCCAGCTTGATGCCATTGTGCGGGAGCCCAGTCTCCAGGTCTAAGACGCGAGTAGGTAGTCTAGCTGCCTTGTTGGTGGCAGAACACGTCGTGTGTTCCTGATTGCAGCGATCAATCCATTCCTTCGCCCAGCATATTGCTTCTTCAGAAAAGTTCCCAACTAGTGTATTACGTATACGTAGATGCTGTTGTCTGGACTTGGGCCCAACAAAAGGCTTCCGGTTAATAGACAGGGAGAGAGACTGGTCGCCTGTGCAAGTCAGCGCTACCGTATTATGTCTAGCTACAAAGACATGTTGTAATCGTAGCTTCATACCAAAATAGAGCTTACTGACCATATTTAGTGAGAAATTCTAGGTGATCATTGGACGCCGGATGCCGGGTGATAACGAGACCGTCATGGACCCTCCAGCTGAAGGAGTCCTTATTGAATTTGCTCGGTTGCCAAAAGAATCTCATCGTCTCAATTATCATGCCACATGCTGGGCAATTCCTTCGCCTCGACGCAGAGGCCTTTTGGTAAGCCATAGTATACGCGCCATCTAACGTGGAATGCCTTGTAACCTTTTTTAGCCACGATTCTAGCTTAGCTACCGGCAGATCAACAGCTAGAAGATTAACGGGACAACTCCGCCGATGTTCGATATGGAAGCTAGTGCGGTAAATTGTCGCAATGGAGTAGCGTCGGTAACTTGCGTCGATGTCTGTGTCGTCCTCATCCAAAAGGGATGGCACAAATTGGCCAATGTCAGCGTGGCCTTCAGCCCAGCTGGCTGCCATGACTCGGTCAAGATTTGTGCAGATGTCTTCAAGGCGGTACAGAACACAATAGGAGCGGAATACGCACTCCTCCTATAATAAATAGACCCGTCTTGTGGAATTACTGGTCAATAGTTGATGGAAGGGACAGGGCAAGTGTGAGGCTTGTTCTAGCGCGAAGGCATTTCGCACTCAGAAGACAGAGGCGGGGGATCTGACACTAGCCTAATAACGTATAGTGCATACGCCGCTTTTGCTGGAGGTACCTACCAGCATGGCAATGTTGCATGTATCAGCGTGCCAAGGCTGCGTCAAGGCTGACAATGACTTCTCAGCATTGCAGTGGGGTTCTAAGGCTCAGATAAGAGTTGCTTATGAGTTTGGACCATTGCACAAGTTTAATGTTAGGGCTATGGTGAAGGAGCTTTGTTGCGCTATGAAAAGGATACTCTCCGCAAATCAGGCGCTCACGCGACGATGCAACGGCAATCTTCGCGGTAGCCAGATTCAGGAGGCTTAGAAATGGCCACAGTAGACGACGAATGCAAAATTAAGGAAGCTTTCGATGTATACAAGGAATTCCAACTGCTTAAGTTCAAAGTACCTATGGTTTGTCTCGTGACAGGGTGCGTCTCTCGACGCAGGGACGGACGTTATTAGATTATATATTTCACATTCAACCCTTTCAAAGTCACGCTCTCAGACGTGTTAAGAAAAACTTCATATAAACATATTGAAATATTCATTCTCTATAAAACACTAGCAATGGATTATTATAATCTTGCGAATACCAGTGCCCACTGACCAATCTTCCCTGCCTTTGGCATAGAATACCCTTCTCCTTCAAACGTGTCTTTGAAAATAGACTTTACCCTGAGCTCGGCAAAACGGTCAATATCGTAGTCATTCAAGCCAAACCTCAAGGGTCCGTTAAGGCTTCCCAGGCAGCGTAATAAGGGAGTACGAAATTCCCAGGCCCGAGATCTAACCCTATAGAATTCTGCTTCTTTGCATTATTCCACTCTCTTATCCTGAACAAAGACTGGTACTGCCATCCTTGCAGCCTGGTGAGCTGGAAGGTACTTGAATGGCTATTCTAGTATCTACTCTAATATCTTGGGGATATAATATAATAAAGATATATGAACTACCCTATACGTACCTGAATGGATATATTAAAGCAAAACGTTCGTAACTAGATCCGCTGGAATCTCATTAAGGATCAGGCTCGGCAAAAATACCAATATCAATAATATTAATACTTGCCCCATATTTTAATTATTATTTAATTATTCTTATTTACTATTATATTATATAACTTAAAAATGAAAGATTTGTAAGCATTAAGAATGCTAATAATTTGGTTTAAATAAATATACAAAATAACTAAGTCTTTAATTAAAATATTAAAATATATTAAAATAGTGACTTTTTGAGTTTTGCGATCCCGATAAGCTTATCGCTAATTGTTTAGCGTGCAGTCCCTAAATTTTAGGCAGTTTATCGCTAAATTTATAGGCTAGAGGCCCCTAAATTTTCGCCCAAATTTAGTAATAAGGTATTAATACTAAAATTTCTGGTATTTTTGCCGAGCCTATTAAGGATATTACTACCATAATCTGGTATATATCAGATGCTTTTTCCTTCTATTAGCTATATTAAGCGGGAATAGAATATAGAGATAGGGCATAACCCCTGCGGGCCATATATCTTATAGGGCTGAGTAATAGCAGGTCCGATACTAGTAGGTTATAAGAGTAGAATTAGCAGGTCGGGAAACCGTACCATTATTAGCTATTTTATTAGCTGTTTTGAGTATATATAGACCCAAGGGAAGCATTACAGATGCTTTATTATACTAGTTTATAAAATCTCCTCGAGCTTTCCCTCCGTATTATCCGAGTTAGGTCTGGGAATAAAAGAATAAGCAGGATTTAAATACGAAATAATAAAAGAAAATAACGAAATATCTTGATTTAAAAATAAAAGAGAAGTTAATTTATATTATATAATTATTCTAATTATTTTTTGAAATTATACTCCTATATACTACTACTTTCTTTATTAATCTATCCTAACTTTATCTTTCCAGGAGTTAGCCTTCTAATATATCTAAGCTAGTCTTTATATAATAGTATTAAACTACTATATTTCTAATTTTTAATAAAAGTTTACTATAATAGTAATTATTACCTATTATAAAAGTAAGTTATAGAATTTCAGGTATCCGGTCTATAAGGGAATATTAATAAGAAGTTATAAGATCTCTATTTTAATTATTAGAGTTACTTATTAATATAGAACTCGTATTATATATAAATAGATCTACTAGTTTAGCTGCTTTCTAGTAAATTATAAGAGTATTTTATCTAGTATAGCCCGATTCTTTCTAATATTAAAAGATTTCAAATCTTTAAACTTATTAGGGTATTAAATATAGAAAGTATTTATTATAGTTATTTTTAAGACCTTATACTTCCTTAATAATATAATTTCTCCTAATTATAGATTAGCTAAAATAAGATTAGATTAAAAGAATTAAATATATTCTTTTTAGTAACAAGAATTAGTATAAATTTCAATTTATTAAATTTCTTCTCTTAAAGAAGTATTATAGCTATTCTAATAGTAGTAATAGTAAAGAAGTTAGAAAGAAACTCAACTTTTAATCTTTCGAAAAATCTAGAAATCTAAAGGCTAGCGGCTATAATAGTCTCTTTCTTTACTATAATACTATAATTGCCTACTTTAACTCTATAATATATTCCTCTATTAGTAACTAGCCTTATAATATCTTTCTTTTCTTTTCTTATACCTAGTATTAATACTTCTTTAGCTACTATTTCTATAGCTAAGTCAAAATTAATATAACTAATATTCTTATTAAACCGTAATTTCTTACTAGCCTTAAGCTTTAGTTTATTCTGGGACCCTATTATCTGTTTTATCTCCTTAACTAATATTATTTTATTATTTGGGTCCTTTATTATATTTAAGTAATTACTTTTACTAATTACTGTGGTACGGCAGGCCGTACTCGTCAAAAATCATGTTGTTTTGGCGGTTTTGAGGTTTAGGTCACATGGCAAAGGCTGCGGCCTTTTGCACGTGACTTGCGGAAATCACATAAGAAAGCTGGTTTTTCTGTAGACTTAGAGAATAATCCTTCATGAGTATGTAATTAATTAAGCTTTTGTATACTATATACTATTTATGCTTTACTATTTACGCTTTTGATTTGTTATTTTGCTATCAAGTCACGTTTTGCGCTCTGGTATACTTTATATGGGTTTTTGTCTTATTATAGTTTCCCTCCCACATTACTTAAATTTATCTTATCTAGTAATAGTACTTTCTATAAAGAAGATCTATTTACTAGATTTATAATACTTTCTTAATAAAGGTAATATAATTATTATTTTTATAAGCTATATAGATAATCTTACTTTTATTTTATAAAGTCATATATATATAAATATCCTTAAACTAAATAATTCATATATCTAGCTATTCTTATATTAAAGTAAGAATAATTAAAATACTAAAGCATTTTCCCCTAATAATTATATAATTAAAGTAGTTCTTATTACAAACTATAGCTACTATAGTATATAATAAATTTTTGAAAGTTTAGTAATAAGAGATTATTTCCTTATATTATTAATTAATAATATAATATGGCTTAATTATATAATTTAGAACTTCCTCTTATAATAAAATCTACCTAATTAAATAAGATATTAGCTAATTATATCTATTATAAAATATCTTTTAATAATATATATTACAGGATATAATACTATCTAATCTTTAATTATTATAAATCTATTTACTAATATCTCAAATAAAGAATTAGAATACTAAGAATTCTTATATAAGGCCAATTTTTATTACTATTAGATAACTTGAAATTTATAGTATATAATTATTAATTATATATATAACTATATTTTTATTTTCTAAGTAAACTATAATAATATTTAGTAGAGTAATTTTACTATATCTTTAGTTATATAATAAAATATTAGAATTATTAGGAAACCAGAAATAGCCCTGCCTAAAAGTCTTCTAATACTTGAGATTAAGGCTTTTAGCTATTTAATAGGTTATAATTTCAGTAAAGAATTTATAATATATAATAAAAAAAATATTCTAATATTTCTTTTTCCTATATTCTTTCTTTTCTTTTAATTAAATTATCTTATTCTTATATAAAAAGTTGGCTAATTTTATTACTATTTATTATATTTCAAGTTTGTAGTATAATAGCTATTAATTATATAAAAGACTATATATTATTTCCTAATTAGTCGAATCTCTAATTTCTGAGATATAATAATATTTATATAAGGAGGTTATATTATTTAGATAAAAGTAATTAGAGCTAATTTTCTTTTATATATTATTAAATATACTAATTATATTATCTTATATTAGGATAATATATACCGAGCTATAATAATAATTTACTACTAATAATTATATAAAACTATTACTACTATTATAAAAATAAAAATCAATTAAAATATATTAATAATATTTAATAGAAATTTCGCCTGTTTAGCTCCTAGAATTCTTTTTAAAGAAGCTAGCTAGTATAATCTATATATAGCTTTAATAAGTCTAGAAAATAAATAATTACTTACTAGTATTACTTAAGAAAGAAATTTGTTTTATATATTAATCTATATACTACTAGCCGGCTTTATATGGCCCCAAACTATACTTAAAAAGTTTTATATATAATATATAATATAGTATTTATACTTACTCATATTTCTATATATTTTTTTTAGATTATAAATTAGATTAGTATTAGCTATATAAGTTTACCTATAATAGAAGTACTTTATATTACTTAATAAGAGCAGAAGTATATTATATATACTAGTTTAGGGCTTAAATTATATGGCTTTATAAGGGCTTAGTAACTAATTTATTATTTTCTATAGGCTCCAAGTCTATTATCTTAAGATTTCATATTAAGATTCTTTATTTTACTAGATCTAAGGCAAACTCTAGTCTAATTTATCTCTTTACTTTTATAATAGATTAATAAGTTAGTAAGGACATATAATTCTAGTTAGAGTATTATACTTTAGAGAAATTACTTACTAATAATAAAGTAACTTTGCCTAGCTTTTTAG